TTCTTCATGACGAAGTATAAGGAGATCAAATTCAAATAACTGGCTTTCACGAGGCGCATATCCAATTAGCAAGGTGACGATTTATCCCGTATAAATACTATCCTGATTGGAAACGATTCATAACAAGGATGGACAAAGAATTGACGATATAATGAAGTTAACTGAACAGATAAAAATTCGGAAGACTGAGAATTTTTGGAGATGAAACTGTTTCCTCGAGTTATTCTGAGAAAAATGCCTAAAATTGGAATACACGATAGAGCTAGACTGAAAATATGGAACTAGAGATTGATTTATGAAAACCTCAAAAGGCAAATCAGCATTACTTGTGGATCTGCAGTTGAAATACCAAACGATTCAGGATGATCTTGATAGTTCGGTTGACATAATTTTGCCTTTTTTGAACTAAATAAAATAAAGGATGTAAAAATCAAGCAGAAATTGCCGATGGGTTTGAATGGCGAAGACTGACCTGTGCACATCGTCGCTACTTGATTCACATTCGGTCTTGATAATTGCTTGATGACTGGAAATCAATTACAAGTTAGAAGAGATAAAAGAAAGCAAAAAGCTCCTAAAATGTATATCAGGAAATGAGTTCAACAGTGATCAGACATATGCTTGTCGTAATCATCATAGAGAAATATAGACGAACGAGATAAGCAAGCTTACTCAGCTCCATTGTGATCTATACATGAAATACCTCGACGAGCTAAAGGAACAGGTTAAAGAAAATGAAAATCATACGAAACATGGCTTCCTAAATTTGTCTAAAAGCCCTTGAGTAAACACTTTAATCCACGCCAATGCTTTAGACCCATGTTTTCATAACCGAGGATACAGAAGTCTCTTCATTGTCACCCGTTTCAATTTTTCTACAACACCGCACACGCAAGTAACAATGGTCGACAATCAATTGCTGGAAAATAAAAAACGAAAGAATAGCATACCAAGTGCAATTGATTCTACTTTCGTTGTGATTAAAACTGTCATCGGCACTTACGTTATCGTAGCGAAGAACGCCGAAAAGCACCAACTTGAACTATAGCAAATGGCACCAACATACACCAAAGATAAGAAGAGACATAGGGGGGTGTCTTTAACTAACATTTTTTAAATAACCTATCAGAAGCATTTCAAAGGGCATCATGACACCCCGTAGATAGGACTCTTCTCTACGATTGTCGTAAAGCCATTTTGCATCAAGAATATTGTGCATGATGACGAGAACATCCTTAAAAATATACAATGATTGTAAAGTGGCCCTTCTGCCGTAATATCAGATCTTGTTCTTCCATGCTTCCGCAGCAAGCCTATATGAGCGAAGAGTCCTGACGTTGGTCCCGGTCTCACACTTGACTACACCAAGTTCCCCCTCGGCATATTCACAAAGCTTGTTCTCATAAATCATTCTAATTCGAAGCTGCCTTTTAACTGTTGCCACGAGCCGAGGCCTTTGAAAAATATCGCCTGAAAAGTTCAACAATCTTTTAAATTTTCTTATAATCATCAATCTGCTCTTGTCTGAAGAAGCCTACATACACCTTGTTACAACTTAGTAAGTATTGAGGCTCGTTCAATGCACACAACTACACATCCGGTAAGATTAGGGTCCAAGGTTCCGTTGTGACCAGTCTTTTCTACGGCAAGAGCACTTTTCACCCATGCGACGTGTGGAAACGGATTCGACGGCTTATCCAGATTAATAATCCCACTCTTTATACGTTCTTTGAAATGACCCTCTCTCATATTAATTAGCTGAACATTCCGAATGTGAAAAAAGCAAATTACCTTTAGCAGAAATGGCCAGGATACCGTATCTAAGAGGGAAGTAACAGTCGCTGACTTGAGGACAACATTAAACACATCATAGATTTACACATAATCAACTAGCTTAAATTCCTGCCCCGCATGGAATGAATGTTTTTATCTGGAGGGCACAACAAGCGTGTGGAAAAGAGGAAGTGTGCACGTAAGGGTAAAGAGGCGGGATGTTATCAATAGAACAAACAAAAAGGATCATTTTAATATTTATTAAGACTATACTTTAAAACATGTAATTACTTATTGTAAAGACGCGTTTTTACTTTAATAAGAATTGGAATATAACTATACATAAGTTTACTAATGATTTAATATGATAGAGTAATGTTAGATGTATTCATCCAATTTCGTTTTCCCACAATGATATGAGTAGAGCTGACGTTTCCATTAAATTTGCATATTCTTGCATGATTTAATGGTATTCTAGAAACGACACTTAAATGTGAAAAATAAACTAACGTAGTCGATTGTTATAGCAAATATACGTTTGCTTCTTTGACAATCCCACCAAAGAATATGATGTGGCAAAAACCTTGGACTCCCTTGAAGTTCAAATTTGCCCTTTGACCCAAGGGCACTCGTGGCAATGTGACTGAATGGTTAACGTGTCAAGCTCCCATCCTACCCTGCCGCGGTTCGACTCCCGCTGGGGTGTTGATAAGACCGATGCGAGGTCGAAACTGCAGTCCACCCTGGATATGAACAACTTTTGGGAAAGCAAGGTTATGGGAAATTCAATGTCAACGTCAGCTCAACTCATATAATTGAGGAAAAATTCTACTACCAGTCCTTCATCACCTTAGACTAAATAGGGTGAATACATCTTATATGTTCTATTCATTAACCATTAGAATTCTTCCAGATTCTTTTTTCGTCTATTCAGATAGCAAAGTAGTCAACATTGTATCTGACTAATAAATTAGGTTTTATGAGTGCCTCTTGAATTAACTTTATGGTGAATTATCTGATAAACATATT